AATGAGAATTTAGATAATTTCACCTTTGAGTCAATCCCTGCTTTGCTAGTTTTCCACCTACTTGTTACAGCTTCAATAAATTATATTTTTCAAGAATTGTGACGGTGGACATTCTCCTATGTTATAAATTAAAATTCTGCAGCATATATAATGAGGATATCATTTTTCATTCAGCAATAATTGTAGTATGCCTTCAGCACTCAGTCATCCCGCAGGCTTTTTTATTTTATTTTTTTTTGGAAAAACCTCGACAGTACGAGAGTAATTTTATTAATATTGAAAAAAAAAGTTACACATAATCAGGGGAGACATAAACTTTACACCTCATAAAACATAGATAATAAAAACAATACACGAAAAAGAAGATGCGACATAAACCTTACCCTTATAGAAACAAAAACAAGAAAGATACAAAGAAAAGAGGGAGGACATGAAACCTAATCTCTCTAAAACCAAACTTAAAGGTCTAAACCTGCAAAACAAGTTGAGCAACACCATAAAGTTAGGAAAAAAAATAAGAACGTGAGATAAACTTGGACGCCAATATGCACATTAATTTGAGAAGTGGTAGTTAGGCAAGCCAACATAGTCTCAAAACAGTGTATCACGAGCCGCTGGCGGAGGATAATCATGCTAAGTTAAAGTTGGAGAAGACAAGCCCATGTAGCAAAATTGTCCGCAATAAAATTTCTTTTCCGATATATGTGAGATGTGTAAAAAATCATTTTCCGAATCCAATCCAAACAAATAGACCATTGCGTATATCTCTTTGGATCTCTTATTACATAAGAGAATTTGTATCATAAGTTAATTGAAAAGCATAACTTGGGTGCAATCAGTGATGTATTCTTTTTTTTCTCTGTCGTTGCATGACTAGATATATTATAATCTTTCTCCTCACTTAACTTAGGCGGTGATAAAACAAATAAAAATGGGATACACAAGAAGTTGTCATAAGCCAAATGAAAAGCCTGATCTCTCTCTTTCTCTCTCTCCCATCAAGTAACTAGATACACCATGCTGTTTCTATCTTTCCATTCAAGTGAAACAGTGATCAAACAATTAAAAATGGGATACTCAACAAGTTGATTGGTAGAATTAATCCCCCAATCAAAGAGGAACTGAAATACACAATAATGTCAGAATTTTATTTTCCTCTTAATGATTCTGCAGTTTTGCTTTTATTGGTTTAAAGGCTGGACTCTTATAAGGTCAATTATCATAGACATTTGACTTCCCTAGATCATAGTCTGCAAAATGCTAATCAATATGTTGATAACATAGAACTTAAGATGTCCATCACTCTCTAAATCTATTTATTTATCTAATTATATCTTGGCAGGTTTATAGATTGCTAAATTAATACATAATTAGTTTTAGCAGACAAAATGGGTCAGCCCCATCTCATCCCAACTATGATTCATTTACTGGTTATAAGAGAGGACAGAAAAAAGCAACAGATAAATAAGCCATGTGACCTAAATAAATAAGGTGGGGTTTAATCTATCTACCTCCAAGAGGCACTTCATATGTCACCTTAATGTACATTAAACTATTTGTGGAATTGTAGGTATATTATGCCCTTTTAGACCATCTCTCAGAAGTATACTAACAACGCACCATTTGCAATGAGATTTGTGTAATAAGATTGCCAAACATTAATGGAAGTATGTTCCTTTACAAAGAAAATGATATAGGATTGTCACATTTGATTAAGATTTGTGAAAGAGTCATTTGTTTTATCGTCAACAAGATTAAGACCGTCCTAGATTGCTTTCAGAAGTCAAGTATGAAGATTGATGATGATGGAGTATAAACTAATGTTGTTTACATGTTTGTCGTTTAAGTGTCACTCAAGTAACAACGGCAGCAAAAGCATGCAGCAACCCCATTTAATTTGTTTTTTAAGTGCAAATTGCAAAAGCACTTATCTGTCATCAGCTTCTGCAGAATTCACACATAAGCCTTTGGTCCAGTACTGAAACCTTCTCTTAGAAATGTGCTTATTGATTAATGAAAAAGCAGAATCAGATCATAGGCTTGAGCCCTAGTAGAGATTATATCTGCAGCCATGCAAACTTGAGTTCAATAAATTGGTGTGGTTAAAATTTTACAGCAACTTGTAACAAAAGTAAGTCTTCTAACTTTCTAAGTGAAAAATACAAATCATCTCCCACTGCATATTTGGGCTTCGTTAAGTTGATTATAGTAGAATGCTTCCTTCTTTGTATCCAAGTTCGAATCTCAATTATTGTAGTTAGATGAATATTTAGTGTAGAATATTGTTTTATATATGAAAAATTCAAATCACAATAAATTTCTGGTTACGACTGATAATCAAAAAGTTTTGGAAGTCATAACAGATTTTTTTAGCTGAGTAAATGAAAACAAATTCATGAACAGTTTGGTAAGCTTCTATGTGATACTATATATATATAAAGATTTTTATTACAATATTGTCCCCAGCTTCATCTGCAACAAACCCTTCACGTGGCATGGCTTAATTAGAGACAAGCAGCCAACTGGCCAGGAAACAGACATCGATCTTCCATAGATTCCCAAAGTAGTATAACCATAAACCAATCTTTTCAGGCCCTTAAATTCCCAACAAGTACGTACAAAGGGGAGAGTATAAAATTCATAACTTTGTAAAATTAACTTTTGTTGATATCGATCTTTATACTGATGGCTAAACGTATGAATGTACAGTTATGTTCTTAATTGGTTTTGTTTGACATATATATTTTCTTTTTCTGATATAAGCGATATTGGGGAGTGGTCAGGGATTTGAATTTTGAACACAAATTCTCCAGCATGAATATAAACACTTTTAGCCACTTGAGTTACATTTTTTTTTGTCAAACGATAAATTTTGTTAGATTAGATGTTATATTAGTCATCAACAACGTTTGAACCCACGCCGTTATGCAAGGCTCAACACATTTCCACCAGTAAAGGACATATTTGCTAATGAGCAAATTCGCCCAATTTGTCAAAATTCAATTGCCTATCAAACAAAAGAAAGGTGGTGGGTTTTTGGCTTGCTTTTGAGTGGCAATGTAGGCTTGGTATTTGGTAATAATTAAGCGCCTCTCTATTGGGCGTTGTACCCACCAAATTCTTGGGTCCTCATCGAGAGATTTTTCAGTGTGACCAGTACACGGGATGATACATCACGTGTTACTAAACAAATGATGAGATATGTGTACTAAAAAGTTAATAACTTAAAATATAAAATTTCCCACAATTCCTATTAAAACACATGGTGTACCACTTGTGTTCTCGTTACAACTAAAAATTTATTGTCCTCATCCCCTTTGCTCAACAAATTTTGTAAAAAATTTATGGCTGGATATTAGGGCTCGTCTAATAAAATTTTACTAAAACGATTTTTAAAGAAATTGTTTTGTAAAATAAAAACGGCAAACAAAAATTTTTCATTTTTGAGTTGAGATTTAATGTGATTGATAGAATTCCATACTTATTTTCTTATATAAAAAAAACATTGAATACGTGAGATCCGGTAGAATGAAAACACTTTGGGAGACAAGCAATCTCCTCGACGGAATCAGAGTCATCTTACCATCCTGGAGTGTGACAAACCACCTCGATCAAGGAGGTTCGATATGAAGAGCTCTGTTTGTCTTCATTTACACACAAATTATTTTGGTCATTCCAATGCCCTAGGTGCTGTCATGGATTGAAAATCCATAGTCCCACACTCAATCATATTTTATACGAAATAATCAAGAAAATTGAGTTTTATAACAGATTGTCTAAGATAAAATGAATAAAACGATTTGCATTTTGTGTAACTATTTAGTATCTTTGGGCCTTATAGCTTAACTTCGATACATGACTTTTACGTACATGACTACAAGTATAAACGCTCTTAATTACTTAAGTTACAAATTATATACCTTTCTAGAGACATGAATTTAGTCACAAAATATGAACAATTTAAATAAATTGTACCAAAGCACATAATATGGGCCTTAGCCGATAGGAACCCCATTGGTGAAACCCATAAAGCATTCATAGAATGTAGTTTTTGGGTTGCTTTTTAGTGTGCGTTGCACTCACCCTTCGGCCTAGAAGCCCTAGAAGTTGCAAAGTTATTGCAAAGTTACAAAATGCTAAAGAGATCATATACCAAAATGTATTTCCTCTCTAGTAAAAGCAGTCCTCACAAACGGATGCGGATTGATCTATATGCACCATCCGAGAGTCCAAGAATCGCATGGGAGGACTTATGAGAACCACTCAATGGTGGTAGAAAAGAGAAGATCATCATGGTTGTCCATATATTGTACGACATAAGCTTTAAATAAAATAAAAATAGTAATATTAGACGATGATGAGCATAGAGAATACCAATAATCAAGTTATGTCCCTAGCATTTTAATTAATAAAGGGATGGTGTATTACTTAACTATAATTTTTTTTTATAATATATTCATCATTATTTTTTAAAATTCACTATAAATTCATACACCTTTAAAAAATATTTCGTAAAGTACTAGGAACTCATAATCATAACCTTCATCGCTACCATCAAATCCATAAAAATACGAAAGTTATTTCTAATATTTTTGTACGTGCTACGTTAAATAAGTATAATTTTTCAGTGCAAATGAGCACTTATCTTTATGATTTAAAATAAATTACCTTAAATCAGCCTCATATGCCTATGCCCCTATCTAGACTCTTCCAAGTGCATAAACTAGACCCTCCCAAATGTACCATGTAAAACCATCCAATGTTAAAACCATGAATCCGCCCTCACAAATATAAATTTCAATAAGTGGGACATTATAAAAATCTTCAAAACATATTCTTAGCATTTTTAAAGACAAAATAAGATAAACTTCAGACTTCGTAAACAATATCGTATTTTCGTAAAATTGATCACAATGCATTTTGTTTTATATGTCATTTGTTATATCATTTGGTAAGAGTGGAGCTTTGGAGAAAAAGATAGTTATATGATATGCGCCTTATTTTTTTGTTCCACTAACATAAAAAATAAAATAGATGAAAACATAAACCAACATATAACATTAAAAAAAAAAAAACAAAAACAAAAATTGGCTTCCTAAAAAGCCATATGAAGCTTATACACAAAAAGTTATTACTAGTCTAGGACATATTTGACCCTTCACAAACTCTACTAGCTAATTGATTAGTTCCATGATGGAGGTTCCAAAGCATCCCAATTTATGAACTCATCTCCTCCCAACTCCATCATAACTCCCATGTCATTCATCTCTATGAAATCCTTTTCTCCACAAACTGCACCCCAATTGCTCAACACACAACCAGTGGTACTGTTAGTACTACTACCATTTTCCCACAAATAATCTCCAACACTCCAACCTCCAACCATCAATGAAGCCAAAGAAGCATCACCACCACCACCACCATCACCACCACCACCACCACCACCACCCCCACTACTGCCACTACTCGAACCCCTCACGGAGTCTCCATACTCAGAAGTAGGCTTAGTAACCGAAGAGGTCAAATTAGCAGATGACAACGATGAGGTCGACGGGTGCTGGTGGTGGTCTGGCAAGTTGAGCTTGGCGGAGGAGCCGTAGAGCTTTCTAGCTGCTTCATCATAAGCAAGTGCTGCCTCCGTGGAAGTGTTGAAAGTCCCGAGCCAAAGCCTAGCCCCGCGATTCGGCTCTCGAATCTCCGCCACCCATTTCCCCCACGTCCGCTGCCTCACTCCTCTAAAGCTGCATAAAGCATTCTCCGGCCCTCCCTTCCCCTTCATGCAACCTTTTCTCGACCGCCCCATGCTATCTCCACCTCCTCCTCCTCCTCCGCCTCTCTTATTTACCACCTTTCTCTCTTCCTTCTCCATGTCCACCACCGGATTAAAAACCCTAATTAGGGTGTTGCTATCTCCTGTTTGATTGTTTTATATAGAACAAGCGCACAATATTTCTGTAAATTTTTTTGAGGAAGGCAACGTATTGAGGATATGGCACAGTGACCTAAGAATCGTTGAATAAGCACATCCAAATACGTGGGCAGTTGACATGTGTAAAACAACTGCTTGGCTGTTGCTGTAGCACACGATCCACGATGAACATCAGAACATGTGTTCTAACCTCCAAACAACACCTGTCTAAATTGTTTCAACTACCCTAAGCTTGAAGATATGTGATTTCTGTTTTTTTCTTTTCTTTTTTCGTGCTTAATTTTTCGGTGTTTTTTCAGTCTCCCTTTTTAATTTGATTATTTGCGTGTACAGAAAGACGTACGCGTACGTACTGTACGCTACATGTGAGAAGACAAGTAGTTTTTTTCCATGTTAGACTTTGCCACGTGGACACGTGTTTAGGTTTAGAGGCTTGCTGTCACAAGTACACAGGGAAAACAAAATTTATGTAGAAAACGAGTTAGGGTTCACAGAGATATGCAAAATAAAATAAAATAATATATATAAGCAATATTTTTTCAATATATCTAGCATAAGTGATATAAAATAACAAAAAGTAAATAGTTGTTGCAAAAAAAAATAAAAAATCCAACAGTTGTAAAAATAAACTATAACGAATAACAGCAGTTTTAAACAAAGTTAAGTATTTACGCTAGCCCGATGACATATGTCGTAAGTTGTAACTTTTCAAACTCCACAGCTCAAAGCAGAGTCATGGACAGACTTCGAGCAACTTGACCTTTCAGCTTTGGATTCACAGCCGACACCAGATAACCAATATCCATTTGAAATGTGAAGTCTAAATCATGATGAGATGAGAAGCAGGTAATACATGAGTTGGTCATCACTAACGGAAAACGTTAGGAAGATTACATTTTGAAAGATCACATTGTATCATTTTTCTAACAAAGCGGGACCTACTTGTATTGGTTGTCTGTATATCTATTAAAAAGATGGTACAACGGAGATGAGTCTTCCTAACGTTGTTATTATGTAAATTCATTTCGATATGCCATGTTAGCAAAATATCCTTCTAGTAAACAAGTTGAAGTTGATTGTTTTCGAAGAATTTATTGCAGATACTTTCATTGCCTTCAAGCATTAAATTTATTTAACATATTGCCACCAAACTTCAATTGATTTAGGATTTTGTCACAATCTTTAAACTTCAAATTACGTACGATACTGCAATTGTTCCTTGTTTGTATCCTTAAAAAATATAACAAGACAAATGTTTGGAATTCCATTGTCTAATCATTTTAAAATGCTTTTATTGGAGGGCGTCATAATTTATTCAATATAACGATAACATACGTGCTATAACAACAACAAACTCAATATAACAGTCGCAACAAAACCTATAACAACTTTGTTAATGATATAACAAAACAAGTTTGATACAACAATAAGCAAATATACAAATCTTATAACATTATATAACAGTAAAAACAAAAACCCAAATATAGAAAAAAAACGGTTTCGGAAACTTTGAAATGATAGAGGCTTGCAAATTGTTGCAATGTCCTTTATAGACAAAATTTCATCTCTATTTAAGTGCTTGTAGTTTTTTAGACGTTGTCCACCAGGAATGAGGATCCTCTTTGTGAGGATTATGGGGATCTTCAAATCGTGTTCGTTCATCGTACATCGTGAGACCATAAATTATTTTAAATTAAATATGAATAGTACCTGACGAAAACTAATCGCATGATATATGATAAACGGATACGATTTAAGAATCTTTAAAATTCTCACAAAAAGGATCTGAAGAGGACCCTCCTGGGTCCACCAGGATTACTCTACCAATCCAAGTTTCTAGCACCAAAAACTTGAATCTGACAAACGTACAAGTGTTTCTCTATCGGGCTTGGCTGAGCCCAAGAGCCCCATTCCCTCCAAAGCCCAAACCTCCAAAAGCCCATTAACCTCTCGCACTCCCTCCGACTGTGACGACGATAGCAGGCACACAGTAGCGAAATTATAAGTATCCCATGGGCTGCTGTTATCCCCTGTTGCACTCTCTCATCACACACCTCTAAAACCCTAACGCCAACTGTGGCAACAAAACAGCTGAACCCGCATTCGCCACCGGATCCTCCATTCCGATTTACCCGCCCGCTTTCCGATGGCGACTCCCACTGAGTCTCTCCTCTCCATCGCCGGGTCGGTCTCCACCAACTCCACCAAGAAACGGGTTCGGATCTTCCGTGATGAAATTCCCGCCGTCCTCATCAACTCCGGTTAGTGATAAGTTTGGTCCCCGATTGCGATTTCACTGCAACTCCAGTTGCATTTCTGAAATTTTTTAACTCAGCGCCAACGTCCCAGCATGGATACGTTAAATTCATGATATATATATATATATATATATATATATATATAATGTGTGGATATATTGAAGGAAAATAGAACATTAAAACAATAAAGTCTAACATATTACGTATTGAATTTAGTATGTAGAAATTTGTAGTAAATTCGATTTTGATGAACTGTTGAAGCTAATGTAATGTTGTTAATTATCGGTATAAAGAGTACATTTGTTCGGCAATGGCTTTGGTTGCACCTTTTGGTGTTGTTAAATTTGTTTCTTGATGAAATTTACGTGTTTTTCGGTGATTGTGTCTTTGTTTTACAGAGTTAGCTAAGAAACAGATGCGGAAAACTAGCAAAGCTGTTGAATTTCTTAGAAAAATGAGGACGTTATAATGTATTAGGTGGTCATTGCATTTTGAATAACGAAGCGGAAGAAGATATTAACATTAGTTTACTTTACAGAAATGCTAAATGGAACTAAAGTTTTATTCTTTTTGTCAATTGTGGTTTTGAAAAATTAAACTTTTATTTGCTTTTCCTCCCATCTCTTTCTTTTACTGATCTCTTGTGTGACCAGTTATGCACATAATGTTTAACAATACTGGGTGGTGCGCACCTAGATAATATGGTACTGCGATTAGAGTGGGCTTTCTGAGTTTAATGCATAATCCTTTGGGGTTTTGCTATGAGCTGATCATCCAAGCACATTCTATTTCTAAAGTTACTTGCCGTTTGAAATTCTGCAGAAATTGGTACTGAGTCTGTACTGCCGCTGATAGATATAATCTTTCAAACATTGTACATTTACGATGATCGTGGGTCAAGGAATGCTGTTGATGACATCATTACAAAAGGTTTACAAGAGGTTTCCTTTATGAAAAGTTTTGCGGCAGCCCTTGTTCAGGTCATGGAAAAACAAGCGAAGCTGCAATCACATGTTGGCTGTGATCGACTTCTCCAGTGGTCATGCCTTCTATTGAGTAAGAGTAAGTTTGCCACAGTCTCAAAGAATGCATTGTGTAGAGTTGCCACAGTGCAGGCATTGTTACTCAATCTTGTCATGCAAAGATCTTTCCGTGAGCGAAGGGCTTGCAAGAAGACATTTTGTCGTTTATTTTCTCAGGTTTAGCCAGTTGAACCTTCTCTTTAAGAATAAGTGTCCTTTCCATAAATTTACATTATTATTTGCTGAATTTTTTTTTGGTTTCCTGTTCAGTCACCGGACGTCTACAAAATGTATATAGAGGAACTCAAGGATGCCCGTATCCCATACAAAGATGGTTCTGAATTGATTTGGTTGTTGTTAGAGTACTCAAGTACCTCAAGCAACTCATCTTTGTTTGAACAATGCAAGGTGAGAGATTTGTTATTTCATGATCATGTACTGGAGGGGCTAACCCCATTTGTATTTATCTTTAAGTTCATATTATGTGGCTTTATGTGCCAAAGATTTTAACTCATCCTTTGCTTTTTACAGCCAACGTTTTTGGATATATATCTCAAGGCAATATTAAATGCAAGAGAAAAGCCAGCAAAGGGCCTTAGTGAAGCTTTTCATCCACTTTTTAAACATATGTCGCACGAAGATTTTCAAAATATCGTGCTTCCATCTGCTGTTAAAATGCTGAAACGCAACCCTGAGATTGTATTGGAGTCGGTTGGGATTCTGTTGAAATCAGTCAACCTTGATTTAAGCAAGTATGCTGTCGAAATTCTTTTAGTGATATTGCCGCAGGCTCGGCTTGCGGATGAAGGCAGAAGGGTTGTGGCACTGGCAGTTATACGATGTTTGAGCCAAAAGTCAAGTAATCCAGATACTTTAGAAGCAATGTTCAATGCTGTCAAATCTGTAATTGGAGGTTGGTTCCTGATTATTTTATTACTTTGGAAGTTTTTGAAATGAATGGAACCGAAAGAAAGTAGTAATAAAGAGGGGATGGATTGAGAAAGAAATTATTAACTGAAGGGAACACCATCTCGTTGTTAATGAATTTATCATTGTATCATTTTAGCTTCTTCTTTTTCTTCTGTAGGTGTATGGGTAAGGAAGGATTATTATTTTTTAATTTTTATTTATTTATTTTTAATTTGGTGGAAGTTTCTTTCACTTCTCTCTTTTCTCTCTCACTAATTAGGACAAAGAGTGGGGTTTTGAGGTAATTCCGTATCTGCCTACAATCAGTCAGATTAATATTCTAATTGGGGAAAAGCCAAGTCCCCACTATATTTCCTTTACATTTCCTCATTAGAGCACACTGTTAAGTGACTTCAAATATTCTTCATTATGGTTAAGTTGGTTTTTAAAGTCTACTTGTGTTATCTTTAATTCACATTTCCATTTAAACAGGCTCAGATGGAAGACTTACGCTTCCATATCAGAGAATTGGCATGATTAACGCACTGCAAGAACTGTGTAATGCTCCAGATGGGAAACACCTTAACAGCCTGTCACAAACATTATGCAGTTTCCTTCTATCTTGTTATAAGGATGATGGTGAGAAGTGAACTTGTGGTCTTATATTATTTTGTCTTTAAAACTATTTTCTCCTACTTTTTTTTTTTCTTAGTATTAAAATTTGTTTATTTTATCCTTTTTGGATTTAGATCTTCACTTAGCTTTTGAATTGAGTATCCTGTTCATTTTTGTTTATGTTTAATCTTTGTGGCCAAAGCTTTGGGTGTTTATTTCTGACCAATGTTCTTATTTCCAGGAAATGAGGAGGTG